TCCGGTACCTACATTGGAACCGACTAAATCTAGATTCACGTTGGGAAGTCCTAGGGTAAAGCGCTCCCTAACAAAGGCAATTCCGTACTCAAGGGAACTCAAACCTGAGACCTCTTGGTTAAAGATGAAGAAGTACTTGCCACTCCACCACAACAAGTGATATGCTTTTGTCATGTTCCATTCACAAGTATGTAATGGTTTATTTTACGAGTGTGCGCAAAGTTGTGCTCAACTAAAGCAGTAGAAATTATATTTAAGAAAGCTGATAAAATTCGAAACTGCATCATCAACACTGAAGACAAATCTTCGTAGAACGAGTGGTAATGCCCAACTGAAAGAACACAAGCATTAATAGTTATGTACAAACTGGAACTCAATGTCGAAGTTGAGAAATATGCAACGAAGACTAAAATCAAGGTCAACCTAACTAATTTTAGTATCAGAAGCATGCACAATTATGCCATTCTACTCCCTTCACTTGTAGGACAAACTTCATTCTTTAGGCATAACGAGCTTACACCACACGGCTGCCAATGTCTCTTTTGGTATTGAATGTCTTCTGTAAAATCAGCTTCTAACCTTTACGTTGTTGAATCTCAGGCTCCGTCCAATGGAAAGTTTTAGTCCTAAGGAGATCCTCTTCTGCATGATATCCGACATTGAGGAAAGCGATTTCACTTTATCATTATTATGTGGAACATCCTTATTTAGAGCTAATATTATCCTGTAGAATTAGTAGTGGCACTTTTTCTTTAATCAACCACAGAACTGTACGAACGGTGGATGCTACTTCCCCAAAGATCAACAGCCAGATAATAAGCAAAAAGAAGTTCCAACCCTAACTGAATATGTTAACAGATGCCTACTGTAGTCTGAATCTCAGATACTTTGTCTAAAAAGGGTATTTTATATCCTCAGAGGATGCCACCAATCTCAGTTGTTTGTGTCAACACGACCTCTTTTCTGGAAATAGCAAAGAAAATACTAGAGTTAAATGATATGGGTACTAGAAAACAGAACTTGCACAACATGTAATACTACTCTGGAATGCATGTAACAGAAGTAGAGAAAGGAGAAATAGAGATATTAACTAGTGGTAGCTAGCTAATAAGATAATCCATTTTTTATTCGGTAAATGATATTATTAACAATGGGACTGAAATCTCCCATATAGTCAGTCGTATACAAGAGGTAAACCAAAAAGTAGAGAATCTACATCAAATCATGATTCTTATTCTCTACAAAAGACATCCAATCTATACATGAAGGAATTTACCAAAAAGCAATCAAAGAAAAAAGGTTATTTCTTAAATGTGCAAACTCATTTTCGATTCCCTCAAAAGCTCTCCTATTTCTTTCTTTCCATACAACCCACAATAAGAGCTAATGGGGCAACCCTCCAAGTAAAATAATCTGTCACGGCATCTTTCATGCATTCAAAGATGTAGCAAACAGAAGTCCTGATGTATCTTTTCTTTTTTTCATTTTTTAAAATAATGGTGGTGTCCCACAGCCAGCTTGCGCCGATCTTGCCAATCTTGCCAATCTTGATGTATTGTTCTGTTCTACAGCCCATCATTAGAAATCCTCCGCTATAATTCTTGACCACATAATATTTTACTTAGGCTTACAGTATAGAAGTAAAACCTATTCCGCAATCTAGTTCTGAAAGTTAATACAAATACTTATGCAGTTACTGCAGGTGCTAATGCAACAACCGACAACCACCGAGACATTGAGGCAAATGATTTAATTTTATCATATTTATAGGGAACAACCTAATCAAGAGCAAATACGAATTTCAAATGTTCCATTATCCTGAAGAATGGTACTGCCAATTTTTTTCTTTCACCAAACGCAGACCAGTAGACAATGGTAGATGCTACTTCCACAAGAATCAACAGCCAGACAATTAGCAATAACAAATTCAAACCTCAACTCAATATGTCAGCAGATGCTTAGTAAAGTCTATACATCTCAGATCATTTTGTCTAAATAGGGAATTTCATCTTCAGAGGATGCCCCCTTTATCAGTTGTTTGAGTTAACAAGCCATTTTTTCTTGACAAAGCAAAAAAAGCCTACAGATTCAGAGAACAAACTATATGATAAATGGCTGGTACATAAACTAAATGACAGGCATCCATAGATGCAGCAAACAACAATCTCGATGTATCCTTCTACAGCTCTTATCTAGAAATTCTGCTAAACTTTTGACCATATAATACACTTAAGCTTATTGTATGGTAGTAAAACATGTTCCAGACTTCCACTTCCACCATCTAGTCTGAATGTTACAACTAATATGCAGTTACTAACTCAAAAAGTAGCATTTATTCAAATAACAAGCTCAAGTATGTCTATAAAGTGAATTACCCTGATACAAAAAGCAATGCAAAAGAAAACTACTAAGAATGTAACCTCATACTGAGTCAGTTTAACCCTTTGGTGTTCCATCACAATCCTTTGCATTCTTCTGCTGCAACATGAACTCCTGATATTTCTCTGCTTTCTGTTTCATACCTAAAATCATCTCCTCAGTGGCATCAATTATTTGTTTTGGCAAATAAATCTCCAAATAATCCAACCACTCTCCAAGTGTCATTTTCTCTAAGTCCACCTCCTCCTCCATTTGGACTTCACTGATGTTTGCGCCAACATTACTAACTAACCCCTTGCAACCATCTCTTTGAAGTTCTGCTTCAACCACCTCGGGCATATTTCTTTCTACTCCCACATTGGCACTGCTCTCAACAGCTTCTTCACAATCTTTTTGGTCTCTTTCCAACTTTTCCATTACCTCATCTACCTCCGAGTGCACTATACTTGCAGTGCTTCCCTTCCCCTTCCCAAGTTGCTTCAATTCCATGTTTACATTTTCTTTTTTATGGAGATTTTCCACATCTTCCTCCTTCCTTGAACCCCTAGTCCTCCTTGAACACACTTTCTTCTCTTTATCTACATCAATGGCTACAGAATTCTTAGCTTCCTCCACACTATCAGTCCATTTAACATTCTGTGCTTTCTTAGAACCCCTGGTCCTCCTAGGACTTGGTTTCTTCTCTCTATCTGCACCAGTTACAGCAAGACTGTCAGTTTCCTGAGCATCATTCCCCACTTTCCTAGAACCCCTAGTCCTCCTCGGACTAGGTTTCCTCTGTCGCTCTGCTTCAACTTCAGCAAGACTTTCAGTTTCCTCCCCAGCATCATCCCCGTCTTTAACACTGTCAGCTTTCTTAGAACCCCTAGGCCTCCTCCGACCCTGTTTAGTCTCTCTTTCAATATCAACTAAATCAGTATTCTCAGCTTCCTTCACACTATCAACCCCAGTTCTCACACTCTCCACTCTACTAGAACCCCGAGTCCTCCTCGGATTCCTTTTCCCCTCTTTCTCAGCTCCAATTGCAGTAAAGTTTTCCACTTCATCTACATTTCCAGCTTCATTTTTCACATTCTTGCAACTCCTCGTCGCTCTTTTGGAACCCACACCCACATTTCCTACTCCCCCGTTTCCAAGCCCTAACTCGCGATTTTCATCAATCACCCCCAATCCCTTACCACGCCTCGCGTTCCGTCGGGTATTTCTACCCTTAACCTCGATTTCTTCCACCGGATCAACTTCCATTACTTCAATTTTGACCTTAATGGACGTTTCTTCACCAATTTTTATAATATCGCCGTCGGTAAGTTTAGTGGGTCGAGATGGGTCAATTGCAATAGTATTGAGAAACGTACCGTTAGAAGATCCGAGGTCATTGATAACCCATAACCCAGATTGAAACTGAATACGGAGGTGTTTAGAAGAGATGCCTTCGTCTTTGATAGGAAGTGTGTTGCCACGGACACCCCGACCAATCTGGATCTTTGAACCGGGTTTATACACCAAATTACTACCCGAAAGAGGACCTTTCTCCATAATTAGGTGTAGCAGTGGTCCTTCTCCTTCTTCCATTTCTGTGCTACGGGCAAATTGGAGGTGGGAGGAAGGGAAGAAGAGAGCTTGATGGTTTGTTGCAGAACTGAAGGATTTCAAATTCTGCTTTAGAGGGAAACAAAATATTGGGGTGAAAATGTAAAGAAAATGAATTGGGGGTGAAAAAGAGAAGTTTAGCCCTAACAAAAGTAGTCTTTAAAGTTTAATTTAATAAAAATCTGAAACTTTCGTCGTTCGTTAGGATATTGATTTATTAGTTATTATGTTATCGATTCGATTATCATTTAATTGTTAAGATTTTACACATATAAGAATTATTAAAAAATACATATTAAAGATTACATGTTGCTCAAAAGTATACACTAATAATCACAAGTTTGTGACAGTTAGAAATGAAATTATGAAATAAAATCCCGACTTTATATAACGAATGATCAAATATAGTTTTTTAATTTCCAATCGAGTTGCTAATCCATTAAAAGAGCTTCAAATCATGGAAAATTGATAATCAATGTTAAGTTTTATTTATCGAATCGCTAGATCAAAAACTATTATCAATAATACAAAAACTTTTTTCGTGTTTAAATTATTGATTTCAATTCATTTCGGACAACCTTAGGTGTAGTGGAGAGAGTTACTTGTTTCATATTTAGATTTGGGGCTCAAACTCTAATCTCTATGTATGAAAAATCATTGGTATAGAGTGATTTTCCATAATGAGACCCTACGCGACACAAATTCAAATTAATTAAACTTCAATACTGAACAGAATTAAAATAAAATAAAAAATTAAACTTTCTTTCGTGTTCAAATATCACTCTCAAATCTCCAAATATTGTGCTCTCAACGTCAACTTTTAATACCTTATTTTTAAATTTATAACCAAATTATATCGATGTCTATAGGAAAAATACAATTTAAATCTATCATTTAAAATCTGGATGGATCTTAAAAACTTTAAAGTTAGGAGACCAACTTGATACCTGAAAATCATATGGGGTTAAAACTCTCATTATGAAAAAATATAGGGGCAAGAAGTGTAATTAACGCAAAAAGAGATAAAAGGGCAAATCGTAGATCGGACTTTGCTTTTCCAGGCTCCAGGCTAGAGAAGGCTATTCCATATCAGCATCTTTTCTCTAGATCAAATCTTTAGTAGTAGTCTAGAACCTCTACAGAAGTTCGATCTGATCGTTTTTTGCTGCATAAACCCCAATCAACAATGCCGGTAAGTCCATTTTTTCCGATTCTGCTTTCTCAGTTCTGTGTTTTCATCCGATTAGGTAACTGTATGGAACAATTTGAAGCAATCATTTTGAATCGTGTTGATGATTGATTGTTTGTGTGATTGAATTTTGTGCAGATGACAGTGATAGAAGTGGCAGCGCCGAGTCCAATGAGGTACATGATGGGAGCTGCTGTAATGATGATCGGCGTTGTTTTGCCTCTTGCTTATATGATGTTTAGGAACAAACGTGTTCCTTCCTCTTCTTCTTATTCTAAACAGACGTAGGTATCTGCCTTTCTCTTTTTCTTTTAAGTGATTTATTAATTTCCGATAATCATCACGAGTTGAGCTTAATTGGTGGAGAAATGAGGATTTATTCTGACTTGTTTGGGACTGAAGCGTTGTTGTTGTTTTTAATCTAAGTTTCTAGTTCTCATTGTGTTAAGTGTTTTAATTAATCACATAAATGGAACTTGTATATAGATGAATAACATTATATGGTGTGTGCACTTAAATTCTCTATGTTTTAGAGAAGTACCCAAGGTGGTATGTAGTGGTCAATGAAGTAGTTGAGAATCATGAAATCTTAGCTTAGAGTCAAAAGCTCAAGGCAATTCTTCCCATCTGTACTAGTGTTGGTGTTGCCGGTGGGAGGTGGCAGGATTAGTCAAGGCTAGCTAAAGCTCGCCCAGACACCACATTCATTAAAAAAAAAGAAAGAAAGAAAAAAGTCTATAATCTGAAAGTAAGATGGACCTGAATTTAGAGAATTTATATGATCTAGCTGATTAGCTTGCAATTGACGTAGAGTTAATTGATTGATTGAAACGGTTGGTATATCAATGTGAGGGAAATATTTGTTCTTTAATGGTGTTTGTTTGGATTATATGGTGTTTCAATTGGGTTTTGCTTAGATGAAATTATGGTTTTTATTTTCAGGAATAAGGTTCTTATATAGATTATGGAGGCATACTCAGAATGAACTTTTGTTAAAGAGAAACAAGGAGAAGAGCAGAGGTGGCAACTCAGCAATTGTCGTAAATGCATTAACTTTCTTATTTGGATTGAGACTTCTTGAACTATATTGTTAATTTTTACTAAACTTTAGGATTTTTCTTTCCCAGAGATTAGACCATGCTCTCCTCTCAAGGATATAGTTTAGCTTGGTAATCACAAGTCGAATAGAAAGAAAACCCACTACCGCTGTATTATTATTATTATTTCATATATGATTGATTTTTTTTCTTGAATTTCTTTGCCTAGAATGCAAGCTATGTTGTCAGCAATCCATTGACTCTTGTTGTTCTTTTATGTAGAAGTATATTTGTTGATCAAATAGTACGGTATAGGCTTGCACTGATATATTTCATGAGAATTATTGTTTTTCTTGATGTGGCTTTATGATCAAGATGATGCAGACATGCCCATGTTGTGGGATGAGGATTAATTTAGAATTAATGTGGTACTGACAAATTACAGTTAATTTTTTCATGTCTCGTCTCTTTTTCAATATTTAGCATCTGTGTTTTCTTGATTGTTCTTTTTTAGCAGAGGACTTCATTTGGCAGCGTGATCTGCATCTTGGGAAATGCGTTAATTAATGGGACTTATGGCGTAGAGTCGATTTCTGATTCACTTCGCTTTACTGATAAGTGGATTGTTACTCTTGTGATTCTGATGATTTCTATGAATTGGATTTACAGCTATGTCTCACAGCCAATTTACTTAGCTTTGCTAATGTTTTTGTCGTTTATGGTGTTATTGTGATGTTTTTTAGCTTCAAGAAGGGTTATTGGCTGTGTTGACAGGTTCTATCCTTCCTTATCTTCCACGTGAGGATGATACTGCAATTGGGTTTGCTTTCCACAGAACTTTTTCTTTTACCACCAACCTTGAGTAGTCGCAATAGATTACCAAGTCTTTTGGATACAATTGCTAGGAAAAAGTATGGTTGACATTGTACTTGGTGCTTCACAACTCATGTTACTGTTAATGAAATGTTGTAGTTTCGTAAATGAGCTGAAAACTTCTATTGAATTGTAGTTTCCTTAGGATAGAAGTTCATAATTCTGATAATTTAGTTCATTACTTCCCTTTATAGAAAAGCAAACAAACGAGTTCATTACTTTGTTGCTTAAATTGCTAGCTTCAATACAAGAGATGGCTAGATGCGGCCTTCTACAGTTTGTTCCCAAGTGATTATGTTCCAGGGGCACCTCTCCTTCTGATTGGCTTTACTTGCAATTCCTCAGGATTTTTTGTAGGTATTGAACTTCTCTAGAAAAATCACTTTTTATTCTGCCCCTATATGAGCCCGCCAACATTGTGACTTAGCCAACCATCTCAGATCCTGCGATTACAACTAAGCACATGATGGTGGGTAAGTCAGTTTCTCCGCCCTATGGTATCAAAAGAACTGAAGATTGTAGGCATGAAACCAACCAATTGCTTTCTCCAGGCTTAATCTGATGAAGCTAATTGCTATAGTGTAGATGTTCTTCTGTGCTGGTGTCATGTTGTAACATGTTGATAGGTAATAATTTGTTCATATTTGTCAAAAAGGTAAATATATTTGGCTTGAAAAAACGAGTGGTGGATAGGACATGTCTATTGTTCATGTCTTGTTATTACATATTTACATTTAGTGCCTCTTATAGCCCACACATGAATTTGAACTCACTAATGGAGTAACTACTAACTAGATAAGCAAGAGTATCTTGATTAGACTCGACATGGTACTGACAAATTGCAGTTAATTTTTCCATGTCGTCTCTTTTTCATAACTTGGCATCTGTAGTATCTTGATCCTTTTCTTTAACAGTAGACTTCATTAGGCACTGTGATCTGTGTCCTGGGCAATGCACTATTAACTAAATGAGGTTTATGGTATATGCTTGATTGCTTATTCACTGAGCTTTATTGATAAGTGGTGTGTGTCCTCTTGTGATTCTGTTGATTTCTAACAAATAGGACTTACAACATTTGTCTTGTAGCTAATTTACTGCTATTGCTGATTTTTTCCTCGTTCCTCATGCAATTGTATATATTTTGATTTCTAGACGGATTGTTAGCTGTGCTTATAGATCCTCATTTCCCCATGTGATTGTGATGATATTGTAATTGGATTCAGTTTCCCAAAAATTTATGATTTACCAAAACATTTGAGTTATTGTTATGAATATAGTTGCTGGGAAATTGTTCTTGGTGAACAAAATGTTGTATTTTGAACTGGTGAAACTGTAGTGTCCTTGAGAAAGAAGTTCATAACCTTCATAACTAGTTCATTATGTTGGTTGCTTAAATTTGCTTTGGTAATCAAATTACTATTTCTTGAGAGATGCAAGAAATGCAGCACCTCTACATGCTTTTTGCTTTAAATGGTAAAGAATCTTCCCTAGTATTCGATTATGTTTGTTCAGGGACACTTCTGCCTGCTGATTGGTTGTAGTTAGTAACTTTTAAGCTTTCTTGGAGGGATTTTCAGTATAGAACTTCCCTTGTGAAATCAACATTTATCAGGTCCTCACATGAACCCGCCAACATGAGGGACATAGGCAACCACTTCAGATTGAAAGACAATGAAGCACGTGGTGGTGATTGAATCAGTTTCTCCACCCGATGGTATCAAAAGAACTCAAGATTTTTCAATTCGAGGGACAATGTTGTGTATTCCTTGAAAGAAACGAGTTCCTTGTGATGTGTTGAATCTTCAATGAAGTGACTACGAAAGTTGAAACCAATCCAGTTTATCATGGCTTAATCTGTTGAAGCTTTACTGCTATAATGTCGATGTGCTTCAGTGCTTGTGTCATGCCTTTACTTGTTGATAGGCATTTGCTCCTCTTTTTTACCAGAAAGGTAAGCTTGAAAAAGAGAGTACTGATGGATACAACATGTCTGTTGCTCATGCCTTGCTTATTATGAGTATATATTTACATGAACGAAAGGTTTAGCGCCTTTTTTAGCCTTTACGTGAATCTGAACTCCCTGATGGAGCAACTAGATAAGTAAAGAGTTGCTAGCAGGGCTGCTGCAAACTTGAACTTGGTATCCACCATATACAAGTATGCAAAATCCAAGAAGTTTTGGTTATGTGAAAACTGATCATGTGGAGATCTTTACTTATTTATTTATTTTGCATTTTCTAGACTCTCCCAACAAATAAACACATTTGATTACACAAAAGTGATCTTCCATTAACGAAGGCACTAAAGTTATTTGGACTTTGTGGTTGGAGGACTAACTTATCCTACTAGTTGCAAATGGTAAAGGAGGATCTCCACTCTATATAAAAAGACAATTTCTTCATAAATTATTTATTGCATAAGTTATATGAGTTAGGAAGTAAATTACTCCTAATGTACAAAATTAAATAATATTTAATTTGTAATTTAGAAAATCACATTTTATAATTCAGAAACCTGTATAAATTATGAGGTAATGTATATATCATCTATTGCAACAAGCGTGGGTTAAAAATTAAGACAAGTTTGAACTTGACACGCATTATTAGTTCATCTCAAAATTATTGACAATTTAAAATTGTAAAAAATTTTGAAAATAAAATTAATAATTCACGTCAAAATTTAAGAATATTTTGATATATTATCTGATAAAAAATTTGAGAGTGTTTATTTTTAAACTCACCACACTTTTATGCCAAAAGAGAAAAGTGATAAGTTGCAGAATATATATATATATATATTAGTTTTGAAGGCAGAGAGATTTGGTTGGAAAACCAAAAACAAAAAGGAGGTAAAACACCGAAAGCAGTTGGGGGAGAGGAAGATGAACTTCCTCCGTAGAGTAATTTCCCCAGGCTCTCGTTCTCAAGTTTCTCAATTTGCGAATAGGTCCTTCAAAATTACACAAAAGCATTATGGGTCCATTGCTCAACCCACCTCAAGCTCCTTGGTTCATGGCATTCATCAATTTCATTGCCCAGTAAGTCAATTTTTTGTACATTTGAATGAATCTTTGAGATCGAGTTATGAGTTTTTAATTTCGTTTAAGGAAAATGAAATGCGACTTCAATTTTTTTATGAATAGGATGTGGTTGGAATCCTTGCAAAACTATCGGATTGCATAGCATCAAGGGAAGGAAATATTCTCAGTGCTGATATTTTTGTTCCAGACGACAATCATGTCTTTTACTCCAGAAGGTTATAGTTTTTCTCTGCATTTCATAATTGAGGTCTAAGGGCCAGGTTGCGTGTACATTTGAATGAAATGAATTCGAGTAGAATGGAAGGATATAGGAGATTCGTGTAGCTGAGCTCAATTTGTTAGGAGTTGATGCATAATTAATCGACTGATATCTCGTAATTTGTTCATAGAATCTGTTTTAATGACTGACATTTATTTCATAAGAGAAACTAAGTTTCCTTTAGAGCGTAAAAAAACTGAAGTGCCAAAGAGTTGAAACCTACTGCCCCTGCATCTACGATGTGGTCTATTGGTTAATAAAGTGGGTGAAGAAATCCTTGGAGATCATCTCAGTAGAGACAAATAATGTTTGGTGATTTGTTCGCATCTGCCTAAGCTGTTGTGGGGAGATTTATCTGGTACCCGTGCTGGTAGGCAGTAGCAAGTACCCGATGGAATGGTTGATGTGCTTTTTTAAGTCATTCCTTTTTTTGGTAAGTTGAAAAATAATATATCGTGCCTTTAAGACAAGGAAGATATTGCCCAGTGTTAAAAATCATCCTCCTCCTCCAACCATAAAAATTTGGTACTAATTGCCAAGGAAGCAAAATGGGGAAGGAGCATATAAATTGCATTGATAATTGTTTTACTCCTTTGATTTACGAGGCAATTGCTCGTTTTCCAACAATATTATGAACATATATTTTCTGTTCTGATGTAATTAATCAGTTGTCTCCACCTTTGTTTTCCTTTTTTTGTCTTCCAGTAAGTACAACAATTAGAGAAACTAATTATTGATGCAAATTACAGCGAGTTTCTCTTTGACCCTGCTAAATGGCCAAGAGAGCAAATGGATGCAGACTTCTCTAATCTAGCTAAAAAGTTCAATGCGATGAAGTCTGTCGTTCGGGTGCCTGATACTGATCCCAAATATAAGATTTCAATTCTAGCTTCAAAGCAGGTATTGGTTTTAAAACTTCTCAGAGCCTGTTTAAACTGTAATCAAGTTGAATTAAACAATTTTGGTGCAGGAGCACTGTCTTGTGGACTTGTTGCATGGTTGGCAGGATGGGCGGTTTCCTATTCACATAACTTCTGTAATAAGGTAAAGTATGAAATTTCTTCATTGTAGTGATTCAATGTCATTGTAAGGATTGTTTATGGTTTCATATGCTTTTCCATCAGCAACCATGAACGAGGTCCAAACACTCATGTGATCCGGTTTCTTGAGAGGCATGGGATTCCATACTATTATTTGCCAATGACTAAGGAGAATAAAAGAGAAAAAGAAATCTTGGATATAGTTGGGGATACTGACTTTTTGGTTCTTGCCAGATACATGCAGGTAATCAACTCACGAGACATAACTGTTAATCTTGTTTTCTCTTACATTGAGATAAAGGTTGATCTGGTCAAATAGGAAATTCTTTGTCATAAAATATGTTCTGGATCATTTTTCTATTGTCCAAACAAATTGATTTTAAGTAGTCCTTTGTATGCTTTGCCGTGACATGCACCTCTCTTACAGAGAAACAACTGTTTATCATGCAGCATGTTCTAGATTGCTTTTTTTATGGTCTAAATATTTTTGTTATCTGATTTTTTTATTACATGCACCACTAGACCTAGTACTTGGACCCTTAAGTTGCGTCTGTATAATACAAATCTGCAGTGATTTTATGCAGGTATTATCTGGGGACTTCTTAAAAAGCTATAAGAAAGATATCATTAATATTCACCATGGCTTGTTGCCATCGTTCAAGGGTAGTAATCCATCTAAGCAGGTTCCTTTCCTGTCTCCATTTCTTCAAGTGGCCATTTTCCTGTTTCTTTCTACGGAATTATAGCTTGATAAGATGTATTTATCTGTTGGTAGGCTTTTGATGCTGGCGTTAAGTTGATTGGGGCGACAACTCACTTCGTTAGTGAAGAACTAGATTCGGGACCAATCATTGAGCAACTGGTAATAGTTTTCATGTTTGAATCATGGTATTTATGTCATTTTTAAAGCGTCTTGTGTTTGTTTTATAAATTGAACTGCTTGGTAATATTCCTTAAAAGTGGTGATGATTTTAATCTTTATTATCTTTTCAGTACTTTTACTTGTGAAGCTAAAGGTACTCTGCTTCCTTCCAACATTCTCTGATAGAAGTATTCTGCAAAATAATTGACATATTCTTGTAGTTTGTGAGGTTGTATGTACAAATATTTAGTTTGACATAAGAAATGGTTTTCCAATAGGCTTGTTTTACTGGACCAGCTTTCCCTTGCTTTCACCTTTCTATACTTTCCACCAAATATATAAGCTATCATTTACCAAAGAATTGCACCTCAGTTCACATTCCCAAGTTAAATGTGGACATTTATGAATTCTTTAATTTCCAATACAATTGCACCGACAAGGTTTAGAAGCCCTATGTCAAAAGCTGTTTTGATAGGGGCACCAAGACACAAGTATGCATTGTAAAATATATGGTATTTAATTTCCACAAAGAAATGATTTCCTATCTCGTGCAACGATATTATGCATAACTTAGTGGTTTTACTTGGTTAAATTGTGATCTGAAGGCAAATGTTAGTCCTGCCAACACCAACAAGAACTAGGCCTCAGGCCCAAACAACATGTCATTGCTGTTGATTGATTCTATTCTTGTTATTTTAATCCTTTGCTTTTCCTCTCTTGTTCATGCATGGTTTTTTTCCTCCGATTTTTGTTTCTCCGTGTTATTTTATATTTCCTTACATGGACTTGATTGTTTCCTTCTTCATGCAAGTTTTCACCATCTCACCTTGTATTTATAGTTTCAACCTTCTAATTTATTCTTCAAATGTACAATAACTATCCTTGAAGTATCTTTGGGAGACTGGCTATCTTTCTAGTAGGTTCTGATTATCATCGAAAATTTGCACTCCCAGATTTTATTGTTGCAAGCTTTTGATCTTTCAGGTTGAAAGGGTTTCTCATAGAGATAATTTGCGGACATTTATACAAAAGTCTGAGGATGTTGAGAAAAGGTGTCTTGCAAAAGCAATCAAATCATACTGTGAACTGCGTATTTTTCCATATGAGGCGAACAAGACTGTTGTTTTTAGGTCCTGATTGAAAAGGAAGCTGTGGTAGCTGCATCATCTCTTTCCATTCTGTCCATCATTCGGGTGATCATCGATATCATCGTTATCACTCAGTTATCCAAGCAAAACTTCCACACAGGCCACTCCGAGAAGTAAAGACACAGAAGGTGTTTCATCTGGAAAAAGGAAAGAGAAATAAAGAGGTTTCATCTGAATTCATGTTTTAAAATTCCAATTTTTAAGACACTGTCTTGATATCTGTTTCCATCTTATCACATGCAACAGATATTTGTACAAGTTCCAAATTCTGTTCTTTGATATCAAAAGTGCCTCAAAGCTGCTTTCAATTGTTATAGAACTTTTAAACCTTTTGTCATTTGAATTATGTTTTTGGGTACTAATCATCTGGTGGTATCTGATTCCCACTGTCTCGATTAATTCAAATTTCCGTGCTATTAGGGATTTTTCCATTTTCAGGGCTCGAACTATGTTTTAGTGCATGCCATTTGAATTATGTTATTGTATGACCCTATGGTGATGAAATTCAAATTCCTTTTAGGGTCAAATTTTCATCTTGTTTTTAAGTTTGATTTAAATTACACCTCAGATGGTTGTCCTTCTCATGTTTTAAGCCATTTCATCCCTCATTCATTGTCTCTTTGCTCCTCTTTACATAATTATGATAACAAATTGATAGAGTTTGCTCCATTAATATAATGTGAGGAAAAGCTTCGTGAATCCCCTTTATGGTACAATATTCATGTAGAGCTCTTTAGATTATATACGTGTGATACATGTTCCTTTAGTTTCTCCAAGTAAAGCTCTTCGCATCACAATGCCTATCGTGTCAACTTGCCCTTTCATAAGTGGAGACAGAATAAAGCATCTTTTACTATATGTTCTTGATTCAACACACTTCCACTGTAGTATTCGAGTAGCAACTGCTACTTCCTCTCGAACCATAATATTACTATTTAACTAGATGAAGTGGGAAATTGAATATAAACAAGAAAAAGTCCAGGAGAATGAGTTCTTTCTTGCAAAATTCTATTAAGTTTGGAATAATGAGTCTTTAGGTGAATTTACAAAATTCTTACAAACAAGATCTGTCTTACTGCCAATATATTAGATACTAACTCCAATTAGTAAGTACAACTTACATCTGAAGTATCATAAGACAGACAAACCAAGAACTATCTCAAACATTTTTATACATTAAAATAACACAAAAAGTGAAAAACTAAGTTAGTCTAAAAGCTTTTGTTGATTCTCAACATTGTCATTGATCCTTCAGTATCTTCATATAAACTGGTTTTATCTAGAAGCTTCTGAATTCCATCAATCCATTTTTGTTTATGGCTTTTGCTCTTGCACTTGAACTCTAGAAGACCCTGAGCTGTCTTTACTCTAAGGTACAAATCTAGGCTTTCAATCTCTTTGTTGAATAGCCATGGTTCACTTTCATCACACACTTCATATACTACACCTGTTGCACAATGAATGGCGTTAGGAGATGCAACACGAGTTTTCTTGAAATTGGAGCATAAATACATACAATCAGACTTCTCTATAACAATCATCTTGTTCATTTCACTTCAACACACAAGTCTTCTTGGCAACCGACTTTCTTATTTATATATTCTCTAAAATAGCATCTCGCTATAGCAGTCCAAAATAAAATCTGAACGAATGATGTTGTTATAGAGAGCTTACATTTGTTATTCTTAGAAAAAGCTCCACCAACATGTTTACTCTTCAACTTGATCACAACCTGTAAATTGATCCACAGTAGTTAGTACTTCCATTTTTGTTTCTGAATTTTATGGCATCTCAATATCTTGAAAGGGCTATTGACAGACCTGAGATTTTTTGTTTATATAAACAGAAACGCGTTTCCATCGTTGCATACCTAAGAATCCAGAATAAACAACAGCAAGTAGAATCAGCAACAGAAGAAAATAGTTGAACATACTGTATAATAACAAAAGGTATACTTAAAATAGTTCTTGCATATAAATCTGTATTTCACCTTTTCTTGTGAGATGCAGCAATTCACCCGCAAACGGAGAATCATGTTCATCCATGTCATTAGGGAAAACAGCAGCAAAACTTTGAGCTTCCACCATGCTTCTGTCACATGGACTTATTGATGCATTCCTCTTTGCTTCTTTTGGTAATCTTGACTTAAGAGCTGCTTCTCCTCTCAAAGCTTTTCATTCAAAGAAAAATAGGTACTGTTAATAATCAGGTATGATAAGTATCTCAAACACATTTGCAAGAGCATATTGTCACAATATCAACTACGTTTCAGTTCCAAACAAGTTGGGGCCGACTATGTGAATCCTTATTGTTCATGTCACTCATTAAGCCCGTCTTATTTCAATATTATAAAAACTTGGGGACGTTTGGACATGATTTCAAATCACTGATTTGAAGTCAAAACTTGAAACAGACTCCAAAATCCTGTGCCAAACGCCTTTTTAGTTTCTGTAGCACTAGAAGTTTTCTATAGTTTCTACCGATATATAAATCTTTAACATAGTACAGTCAAATCTCTCTATAATAACATTTCGCAATAACATCCAAGTGTTCTTTGGAACCGATTTTCATGTTATGTTATATTATATCCGTTCACTATAACAACATTTTGCTATAGCAGCCAAAAGATATTCATACAACGAAGTTGTTATTTGACTGTAAGTGACTAAATATGTACCTGTGGCAGCTGCAGCTGTTAGTGTGACAAGATCACTAGCACTATGTATGTCTACAGCTGATCTAACAACTGAGGCTACACGATCATGATCCGCCCCGGCTGATTCAGCCATTTCAAGGCAATGTGAGGCCAAGAGTTCAGTAGCTGATGCTAAAGCCGTGCTCATCTTTGAACTCGAACCGTTTGAGTTCTCTGCTGCTGCTGCTGCAGCCAATGCTGCAGCTAGTCCTGCTATGGATAGGACAGTGTGCATATGCGCGTTTTCTAGGCGTGCCTTTTCTTTCTTCTTGACTGAGTTATTGTTAGAATCCTTGTGATGGAACCACCTTCCAATCCCTCCGGCTTTTCGCCCATTTTGTGAATTCAACATCTTGGTCTCTGGCTGCAACAAAATCCATCACTCAGAAAAAGAATTGACAGGTTGAATTTTTATTTTTTTTCAACTCCTTTAAATTGGAATGTTGTGGATAGAAACTTAACCATATTTTATTCCAACAAATTAAGAGAAAAATGATAATCCGAGCTTCAAATATTTTCAAGTTCCTAAAAACAGGTCTGAGCAAATTTTGGAGTTTCTGAGACTTCACTCACAAAACTTCAAATTTCTTTCAAGTAAGATGCATATCCAAACACAAATTCATATTTCAAAAACTCAAATTTTCAAGATTCAACTTCAAAATCTATGACCAAACAAGACCTTAATATTGTTGAACTCAAAAGAAAGGAAGCCTTGATGTAACGCTAAAGTTGTCTTCTAGGTCACCGATTCGCGTCGTGGAAGCAACCATTAATATTTGTGTCAGGCTAGACTACACATCTCTAGGGTTGGCCCTTCCCAAGACAGTGCCAAAAAGATGGATGTTTCGTACACCAGACTGCCCCTTTTTATTCTTGACTTCAAAAGTTTAAAAAGCCTCCAACAATTCTAATGTCATCACCAAGCTCAAGACTCAAGAAATTCAAAAACTTGTAAACAAAGAACTTTTTTTTTTTTTATTTCAACACAATAATACCATATCTTGGAAGGAAAAAAAAACATAAGCTAAAGACTTACTAGTTGTGGAGGTGGAGAAAGTGATTCATTAATCACACTAAATTTCCTTTCAAAACTATAGTGTTTCTGATTTTTAGCAAGAGCTTTTGATAATTCAGAAGCAGATAGACTCCATGATCTTGACAAAAAATCCATTGGTTCCATTGGTGTTTGTGGTTGATGAACAGAAGGCAATTCTACATCCATTTCTTCATCTTCTTCAACACTCATAAGCCAATTATCTGAATCATTATTCTTCTTCCACCCCAAAAGATAGTTTTCCTCCATAACAACTCTCTTTAGATAACTTCTCCTGTTAATTAATTAACCAAAAAAAAAAAGTGTAAGGCTACTAAGTGAAGTATAGCAGATTCAACTGAACACATTACTTTCAGATCAAATCACTCAGTACACGTGAGGGAAAAAACACTATTTTGACCGTGTTGACTTTTATGAGTGTGTTTAATACGACAGAAGTCATTTTTTCTGAAAAATATTATTTTTCCCATGTAAAAAAAAATTAATGATACTATCATCAAAATTGGAGAGTGTTGTTTTGATGAAATTTTTGATTTTCAAGATTAATAAGTATATATTAGTGTTGGTAAATAGGGAAAGAAGAATCTAACGGATTGATCACTAAATACATACAAATAAATATATATTTTGATATCACCACAGAAAACTTGATTCTTTCCTCCGTAAAAAATAAAAAAATTAATGAAGAAACACTTGCAAAAGACATTTGGTCCAGCTAGGCAGTAAACAACCATTGTATTTTCTTGACAAATAACTTCTATGATAATATCAGTATATTGAATCCGCCTCTAATTTTCGCGAAGCGGAAGAAAGGGAAGAAAATGACTTACCTTTTAACAAATGTGAGGATTGTATGCACTCACTAATATTAGAAGAAAAAAGAACATAAAAACTTTGGTCTCAGCTTTAGTAGTAGATTGAGTTTATATATAGGAGAGACAACAAAGCAAACAACAGAGGTACATGATAACTAACATAGGCACACTTGGTCTCATGAGGACATGAAAAAAAAAAATTGTGTTATTTACGTATTCCAACGCAATATTCGTTAATTAAAAACTATATAATAAAATAAGATTAATTTGACTAAATCAAAGAAAACATTGTCCAGATTGAACGGACGTTTGTTTCCTAACGTTAAAACAGTTGTTACAAAAAGTTGGATTAATTTATACACAAGCACACGAGCTATACAGTGTGCATAAATAATAATGTATTCCAACTACTATTTATAACTTATATACCTGGACAATGTAACAAATTTCGATACAATTGATGCATTTAATCTATTATAGGATTTAAAATATCGAGAGATATAATGGAAGGTAACTGCATCCATTTACAATAGTTTGGAGATATATTTATCCTTTTCCCCTATTCGAAATTTGGATTTTATGGATTTGGACATTCGAGTTTGAAATCTATTATTTTTACTTATCAAGTGGTTTTTCCCATACATATACGACGCCTAATATAAGCCAAAATAGGAATTATAGGTGAAGTCAGAATTTAAACTTTATGAATTCTTACGATAAACTCAAATTAATATGTAGCTTAATAATAATTAAATTCACAACCAAATATGTAGAGATAATTACTAATGAATTTTTTAATACATATCTGAATAAAAGTTATTGAGTTTACATATATCATAGCTCCGGCCTCAATTTTTTATTAGATCCCTTTATTACATATGATTTTTTAGCTTACTAATTTCACTTCCTTAATTATGGGGGAGTTACCTGTAGTTATACGTTAGTTGATAAGATAATGTATATAATTTTTTTCTTATTTATAATATAAAAATATAAAAGATAAAATTCTTTTTCTACCAACAAAGGATAGTGGGGATCAAATCTATTATAACTTTCGGTGGTTGTCAACTTTGGGAGTATACAATATATTATATATTACAATGTTTTGTAAAACCGTGTTATAATAAATTGCATTTGTAAACCTTGGGTTTGGGAAGATAAATTTCTATGTAGGGACAAAAACTTTTATTTGTTTTAAGTTATGTTAATTCGAGTTTAATTTTTGTGACAGATATTTTAACTTTTTTTTAAAGTTTTTTTTGTATTTAATCTTATCTCCGCTCTTTTGTGTGGTGTATTCATATTTTTTTATGAGAAAATCATATGTTTATGTACATTCTTAAAATAATTTAAGAACGAAATCTATATATTTTTAATCAAATTTTTGACTCCGTCATAATGAGATGGACGTATAAACGTGGATAGGGGCAATAATCTGTATAATTGTTTGGTAAAAAGATAGGGCTTGTAGGATAATGAACAGCAAAAAATCTTCAAGTGCAAGTGATCAGACTTTGACATGTTATTATCTTACATATAAAATTATATAACTCAAAAAGCTGACTTATAAAGTGGAACTCAGATAGCATTTTATGATGTTAGAAATAAAACAAGTTACCTATTACGCTTTCACCGTTTAAAAGAATGATCTTCTTTTCTTTTTAGTTTGTTTTAGAAAAAATTATCTCATTCTTCTTTTAAAAATATTTTAATTTCAGTTTTGCATGTGGTATGTTTAAGACATGAAAATTAAATGACAATTTTGTATATTTGACCTAACTAGAAACACAAGATTCAAAAATCTTCTTTATATTTTTAAATTACGTGTCAAGTCAAACCAGGTCATTCTTTGTGAAACGGAAGGAGTATAACATGTCAAGTATTATCTAGTTTACGTTTCAGTATTACTATTATTACGTTTAACTACTAACGTATTCGTCGATTTTAATATATTTGTTGTTTTCTTTGCTTCAATTATCGTATTACTGTTTATTATCGTTACTGATCTCTTCTTCATTGTTTTCAGCACGACTTTATCGCTACTGTAGTTGCTTTACACACTTATTTCTTGACATAATTTAGTACTACAACTGAAAGTTAAACAATCTATTTATACCTTTACACGATAAAAATATAAAAATACCATCGTTCCCAAATCTAACTTGCGAGACCATAATGTTACGTTTTGTTACAATAGATAAATACAACTCGATAATTAAATTATTAATTTCGATATACGTATGAAATTTAACCTCTTACATAAATAGCACTAGTATAGTGAATATAATGAATTTTTACTTGGAATCCCATGCGAGCACAATGATTTTGCTCCCATATTTAGGTGCTTTTTATTATTATTATTATTATTATCATTTCACGTGCCTATAGACAAGAGTGAATTATATAATCATTGTTTTACAACTTTAGGAAAATTAATAGCCACACTATGCTTCCATTTTACTCTCATTATTATTTCCATTGACATATGAAATCATGATATATGTCAAAACACTTGAGAATATTACTTTTAGACTCATGCCTAACCAATGGTTAATGGGGAAATTAAAGTAGAATTGAGCCACTAAACCAGCTCACATCATAATTGATCCAATTTTAAGTAACACTAATTAGCTAGGCATATTATATATACACTCAATACTCAATATCAAGCATATATGAAATGACAAGTATAATAATTTGTTATATTATTAGTGTAGTTTAACATGTGATGGTAGGTCAGTTATTATTATTATTTTACATATATATACCAATAGAAGTGAATCTATCATATGTTAATTCAGTAATTTTTATTTTACATTAATCGATAAACTTCAAATCTTAAATATGACTCTGTTTATTAGATAATCGCTTAATATTCTCCATTGCATATACCACATAATTGTTAAAGATATTTTATGAACATGATCATTTTTTTCGTAAACGAAAAGGTATATATATATATGATGTAAAAATAATTTGATATTCATATATAACTCAAATTTCAGCTTGGTGGTAAAGAAAGAGAAACAATTTCAAAAGAAGCCTGAAAAACATCAAACACACAAATATTCTAATTGAACTGGTGAAACAAATGACGAGAAACTGTTTTTTACCGTGCATTTTTTGAGTGATTTAGTTTGAGGAAATAACTAAAAAATCATATTTTATAACATAAATATTACACAGATACGTGATGAGAAAAACCTTTATTTTGATCCCGAAGAAATTAAGGAAAACTATGATATTTCTTCTAATTAATTGAATTATTGGTAGGATAATTCAACAAGGATTTATATTTGCCCCCCTCATTGTCATTGACTTGTGAAAAAAGCAAGTGTAAAATTTTCAAACAAAAGGCTTTATTGTTAGTGGGGAATATAATATATAAGTAGTCCCAATCAATTTTGAAGGGAATATTAATCTTTTACATCCATTTTGGAAAAGCTTGTCTATTACAAAGTGGAAAGGTAAAATGAAATGTTTTTAAAAGCCAATGTGATTTTAATAAAAAGAGTTTTTAAGATTTTGCTTTTTACACACTCTTATGGAAAAAGACAACTTTTCATAATTTCATTTGCTTTCTACTCACGCGTCAATATTTTTTTTAACCCTCTTTTTCTTTATATATGGCCCTAAGGAGATATGACTTTTTATGATTTATTATAAATGTTATTCTAGGGTGTGTTAAAATATATATTTTTGAATTTAAGTGATTTTCTAATTTATATTTTGATATTTGATCAGTATGTATGTTATCTATATGATATGAGATTGTGAGGGGATAGTATATATCGAATGTCACTTATATAACTTGTTCAATTGAATACTGAAAACACTGATGTGAAAAGATACATATTTGTCTCTTAATTTTAGTTGGTCATGAATCATGAGCAAAGGATTAGCACTTGGCAAGAACGGGTTAGGGTTAGGGTTTGGGTAATGAATCGAGTTAGAATTATGACTCATAATACAATGGGAATCCTAGTTGGCAACGTTGATGTGGGGAGCTAATCCCATGTGGCTTGTCACATCATTAAATACATACCATTTTTCCCCCCAAAATATAGTGGTCTATTGGGAAATTTTGATCCTTTAGTTTTCTCTTTTGAAAAACTAATTTTTTAGAGAAACGTTTAACCAATCAAACATTTAAAAAAAAACTTGAAAAATATTTCTGTATACGAAACACACCCTCAGTTATAGTCTCGAAAAAATGATCAATAAAATATAAAATATGAAAGAATTGTTTTTTCTTGAACTTTCACCAAGGATGTTCGATAAATAAAAATCGAATGTACATTAATTTTTTTTTATATATTTACAATATAATTTTTTTAAAAAGGATTTCTGTAAATAACCTCCATCACCCCTAGACTGATTGCTAATCAAAGCCAAATGAAATGCATTTAGGTATGATTTGATTGAAATTTTTTTATATATAATTATGAAAGTATTTTGAGGTGAAAAAACTACCAATTCTGTGGAGCCATTGAAAAGAATCGTCACACTAAAATGAATGACACAAAGTGGCTTAAAGATATATACATTTAACATGCGTAATCATATATAATTAATTGTCTAATCAGATACTTTGTGCATATCATACGTAATTACGAATCATTAAACATACAAAGTTATGAAATTTAAAAGGGGGGTAATTAGGCTATGAGTTTATATAGCTTGAATTGTTTGAGCTTTAAACTTTTCCAACAATGTGATAAAAGTAGCTTTTAAATTGAAAAAAGATGAAAAAAAAATTTAACTAAAGACGAATACACAAGTAACTTTTACACTTAACATCGCAAGTAGAGGACATACTAGTAGTATAAGTTAAAATTTTAATCAACGAGGCTTAAAATTAAATATGAAAAAGTAGAACACACGAATAAGTTGAAAGAGGTTCAGTATTTACGATATACATAAAAAAAATTAATTATATATAAACAACATAATTTTACAGTGAAAAAAGTTTTGAAAAAATATCGAACCTTTATTACCTTGCTAAACATCATATTATACTAAGTGTGAATACTTTAATGAATTTAAAATTCATAAAAGTTGTATTTATACTGTAGGCATAATACATATATTAGATCCTAAACTTGGCTTCAAATTTTAATTTTGACCTCCAGCTTTGATAATGCACAAACAGACACTTCAACTATCCAACTTTTAAATAAATAAACACATTGATCCTACATAGCATAATACGCGTAGGACACCACGTAGGACAAAAAATGACATGTAGGACATGCTATTTATTCAACTTTATACAAATTTAAGTGTCTACTTATGCA